TCCAGCGCGAGAACAGTTATAAAGAATTGAATGCATGCAATTCAAGATTCAAACGCAGTCGCTCAGCTATGACGAATTTTCCGCGTCCATCTGCTGCCTGAGCATCTGGAGCACAGGGCGGAGTGTCAGGTACCCTGCGGGCTCTGTTTCCTTTATATCCGCGGACCGGGACGGTGGCCCGGCCATGTGCTGCTCAAGGCACATGGGGTTGCTTCATTGCTCTGGTGCTGGCCAGAAGCTAACATGGTTCAGCCAGAGGCGACCAGGTACGTCCGAACGGAGACGACCTCGGCGTAGCAGAATGCAGCATCTTACCGGTGCACAACGGCTCATTCAGGTGCAGGTCGAGGTGGCACACTAGGACAGAGTCTCTGACGATCACGGATGAAGGCCAGATCGTCCATCCCCTCCAACAGGAGTGAACTCGCCGCGAATGAGCAGGGCGTCGAGGTGCCGCTCCCGGGGACCTCGTCCACCAAGCTCACGACCGGCGTCCCCAATCAGGCTGAGCCGCTCTGCATACCGGAGGCGCTCAAATGATGCGTTGATCATGGTTGCGCGTCGGTTGCTGAGTTATGCATGACGTCGGGCTTGAAATGCATGCGGACAGTCTTAACGGGCTTAGGCACATCCATGACCACAGTCCCGGGTTCCACTATATCCACCTCGCCTTCATCGCTGTCGTCCCTGCTCCTGCTACATCTTGCATCACAATCTCCGCCAGCTCCTCCTTAGCATTGTTGCCATCACGTCCTCCGATTTGCGCACGTTGGTGGCGGTTGGGTAGGGGCCGGCAATGCTGGACGGTTTAACAAGGTCCGTCATTGCTGCCTTGACCAGGTTTTTAACCTCGGCCTTGAGCGGAGAAGCGTCGTGCTTGTCAAGAAGAATCAGGAGCTCAGTCTCTGATAATTTCTTGACGGAGCCACCGCCGAGAGCGTCAAGAACGTCCGGAAGGAGGTGGAGCGCCTTGCCCATCAAATCGCGCGCCGTGGGATCCTGCCGCCACCGCAAATACCGGAGGAAGCCTGGGTCAAACCACCACAGGAAGATGACAAAATCATCCCCCCCGGCTTCCCTTTCAATCCTCCGCCTCTCCAACCGCCACCAGGAAGCTATTCTTGACTGCCGGCCCCTTGCCCATGAAGGTCGGCCGGTACCCAGTCCTAACCAGGACATTGGCCTGCTGGACGGCGTCAAGGGAGCAAACGCCGGCCCACGCGCGGTCGACGTCGGCCGGTGTAATCCTTGCAAACTCCGAGTAGTCCTTGGAGGCAATTGCGTCACGGAAGCCTTATTAACGGTGCGGATGATGGCAGGTGTTGGACCATCGGCCTCAAACCTGGGGCAGATGGTAGGAACGACGAGGGTGGGTGGGAGGCCGTGGAGTGCCGTAGGGCACCGGTTCCAGGCGGGCGGTGCTGTGCCCAGGATTACAGCTCAAGGGAGAAAATCAAGCGTTAACTTGCGAATGGGCAAACCGACGAAGAAAGAGGGAAGGCTGTCCAGCTGCCACGATGCGATTAGCTTTATCGTTTGTCACGTTGAAAAAGCCGCTGATTTACCTTCCATCCTCCTCCAAGTAGTACACCTGCTTGCCCAAGGGGCTCTTATTCCGGCAGATTTGCGGAAAGAAGATCTTACAGATGGCGATGGAGCCCATCTCGACGCAGTCGAGGTCAAAGTCGCCGAGATCATGCCGGAGGCAGAGGGGGTATTGAGGAGCAACCTGACCGCGCTTGCGCCGACTAACCATTCGCGTTTGTCCAGCATAAACCGTGCCCCTGATGCCCAGTACTTGAATCGTGAGACCCGGCAAGCCATCGAGCAAGTTCAGCGGAGCGCCGTCAAGTTTCAAGTAGGCGCAATTCTGGCAGTCACGTTGCTCGGCGATGCCTGTAAGGTGCGTGTATGACGACAAGTGGATGCTTTGGCTGGGCAAATTGGCCTTGATGTTGAGAAGCCGAAGTCCGTGCTCGAGGAGGCAATAGGGAGCGTCGTAGTAAGTGGCATAATCCGCCAGGGCAACGCTGAAAGCATGGTCCTTGAAATAAATATTCAGTTAACGCCACCGCACACCTGATGAATATAAAAGTGGTGCTCTTACCTCAACCAAACTGATCTCAATGGCTTTTTTTGCGCCCATCTCTTCCAACGTTATTGTCTCCTTCACATCCATCCCCCGGACGTCGTCCAACAACTCTGCCGTCATTGTTGACGCTCGAAAAGGATCCTCCTCTCTCAGTAACCTATCCCTTAGCCCCTCTTTTTCCTCATCCTGGATAAGCACCTGTTCTATCTATCCCCTAAATCTCCATACTTGTCCCCATTTTCGGCAACAACTTGGTCCACCTCCCCGTTGCCCCCGTGCGCCGACTCCACGTCGCCCTCCACCATCGTCCACTCCTCACTTGGCGTGTCGGGCATGAAGATGTGCTCAATCGGTTGCGCTCGTTGGCAGGCCGACAAAGTCTTGGCAGGCACGACGCTGGCAGGGGAGGGTGCGGGAACGAGGGTGAGGCCAACTGACTGGATTGGGCTCCTGGGAAAGGGAGCGCTCGGAACGGTCTCATTTGGCGTCCCGGGTTTGTGCTGTGGGGGTTGTTGCGTTGGGGTAATGAGGAAGCGAGTGAGTCATCACTGTTTGTAAATCACTTGAAGCCACTTACTCTTGCGGCAATGCGATCATAAGGTTGAATGTGCAATGTAGGGAGGCTACGGCGAGCGGAGGATCGTTTGCGATGGGCATGGCCTCCAGATGACATCCTGCAGGAGACTGTGTGAACTTTTAAGTCTGGTCGTAACCTTGGACATCAAAATCCAATACCTCTGTGATGGCTCCGAAGGCTTGTCTTGCTGTCTTCTTTGTCTTTTGACTTGTCTTGTGTTTTCTTTGTCATTTCTTCAATTCTTATGTTTTGTACGTCTATTTCCCTTTACTTTCTGTAATTATGTTCTCTCTTCTTGAACTCTACTTTCTTCCTTTACTCTCTTTTTTCTTCGTTTATTCTGGTGTCCTTACCTGCTCTGCGTTAAAAAAAAAAAATTGTTCTACACAAATTAAAGGTTACATAAAAAAACGCAGGGTGGCTTAAGACAACAAAATGTAAATGAAAATTTTAATTTGTTGCTCCGGGTGGGGATCGAACCCACGGCCGTTGACTGGCATCAGGACGCGTATCCTCATAAGATCAAAGCTCTACCAAACTGAGCTACCGGAGCTTTAGATTTGTTTCACATTTGTGTGATTTATGAACCGAAATGCAAAGCACGGGAAACTTTACAATTTTTGCCCCTGCGCGTTTGCTGCCGGAATGGTTTTCGACCTGGTAGCATGACTAGCATGATTACCTGGTCCGCAGGCGTCCACTTTATGGCCCGCCACCCTCCTTTAGAGGATCCTTGCCATCCCGTGACCCTCGTCGTCTCCTCTGACCCGGGGGCTGCGACAAACAATAACGTCTGCTCGCGGCGATTGAGGAGAGTAAATGCGGGAGGCGTTTGAATTGGTGGCATATCGTACCTGGAGAGCATGGCCCGGAGCTAAACCAGAAGCTAGCCACGAGGGCGTGCGATGTAATGACAGGCGATGCAGGCCGACTATTTGGACCTTGCCGCAGGAGAGCTGACATTATGATGCCATGTACCGACTTAAAGGGCGTACCTTTTACTCTAGTCGACTCGTATTGTTATTATTAGGATGTGATTTCTTCTTTTCTATCGAAGTCGTGAGTTTTAGCCGTATCCTTTTCGCTACATTGTAAGTAAAAGCAAGATCGTATTCACCGCTCGTGCCGTTTGGTGTTGGCAAATCCGTTTTGGCTCAGACCCTCACCTGTCCCGCCGCCAGCCCTGATCGCCCAGGGCATCCTTCTCCTGGCCTGTGCCTCGCCGTGTTCGGTCCTATGAACCGCACCGAGTCCCGCTCCATCGATCACTCCCTCAGTTACGACCCCGACCCCTACCAGCAGCACCCTTTGTCCTCCTGGTCACACCCGGACCCTCCCCAGCGCCTCGCATCCTCCTCCGCGACCCCGAACGGTGTGTCGAACGGCTACCCGCAACAGTCGCAACAGTCCACGCATCCGTCGATCCTTGCTGCAGCCGCGGCCATGGCGAGCGTAGGGACCAGACCAGTTGTCATGGAGGAGGAGATGTTGCCGAGGGGTCTAGACCCGCCGTTGCTGAGGAGCCCGCTATACAGCGCGGATGCGATGGTGCTGCTGGCGCCGCATCTCATTGATGCGATATCGGGAAGCTTGCCTTCGGTATGTTGTGCTTTTGTGGGGTCATGTTGGAGGAATGGGCCGCCTCCAGGAGAGTAGTTAGCTCATCATAATGGCTCGGTTGGCAGGATGCGTGGGAGTACATGTCGATACCCATACCGGCTGTAGCGGCTGCGCCGTCCGTGGACTCGTCCGTGCCGAATACGGTATGGCCGCTTCTGTCTTTGTGGCTTCGTGGCCGCTTTCAGTGCTGACGATATTTTTTACAGCCCGAATACCACCTGATCAAGGATGGCATTCGAGGTTACGCCGTGCTAGAGATCCTCACGACGGAGCGGAATTACTACAAGGAGCTGGGTGTGATCAAAAATGTATGAGCAGGCGATTTGCGGTTTAGACTGCGTGTCTAGAACTAACGTTGGGTTTTCAGATCTGTAAGAAGAGGCTCGAGGAGCGGGAAATCCTCAGCCGGATATCCATTAACAAGATCTTTGCGGGGATGGGTGTGTGTTGCTCTCACTGCCTTTGGTCTCATCCTTGGTTTGTCTTTACTCTTCACGTTAGAGGATCTCTACGACCTCCACACCTCTTTCCTCGCAATGATGGAGGAGCTCCTCTCAGCGGATTCCTGGGCGCCGTCAGAGACGAGTATTGGCACGCTTTTCCTTGAATATGTGCGTTTTTTAACTCCGCTTGGCGTTACTGTCGTGTCTAACGCTATATACAAACATTGCAGAAGGAGCAAATGGCAAAGTACTATATTGTCTACATTAATAACTACTCATCCGCGACAAAAACGATGAGCGAGGAGGAAACGAACAATCCCGAGTTCAAAAAGTTCTTAATTGTGAGTTTGACAAGCGTAAATATTTGGGATGAAGATATTGACGACAGCCCGCAGGAATGCACCAAATCCGAGGAGGTGAAGCACGGCCTGAAGGACCTGCTGGTCAGGCCCATGCAGCGCATGACGAAGTACCCTCTTCTTATCCGTGGTAATGCTCTCCCTCCTACTTACTCCATCGACCTTTCCTGAACCTATCTCGCACCCAGAGCTCGATAAGAAAACCGCCGACAACCACCCCGACAGCGCCAACATCAAAAACGCTTTGGAAGCGATGTCTTCCCTCGCCACGACCGTCAACGACAAGATGGCCGAGATGGTCATGCTTATCTCCCTTTTCAAGGCACACGATGTCACGCTCAACTGCCCTCCCACGCTTTTAACCTCCCGGCGACGGTGCATCATCTCTATCGACGCCATGGATCGGTCCAATCGGCATTTGCATCTGTTTCTTTGCTCGGATTTGATCATGGTCGTTACGGTGCAGCGGAAGGTGTTTGGTGCGCAGCAGCACCAGTACAAGTTTTTGAGGTGGCTGGATTTGTTGGAAGTCACGTTGGAGGATTTGGGGAGTGAGTATTATTGTTTCCTTTGCTCGTTGCGGTGACGAAGCTGACTCTGGCGCAATAGATGACTGGGCGCGAATCACGTTGAGCGATGAGAATCGGAGAGCGACAAGTCTGACGACGCCCGGGTTCAGCAACTTATTCGAGTTTAAGATCGATGGGCAGGAACCGGGGTCGAGGAGGATGGACTTTATTCGGTCGCTGCAGTCGGAGCTTCGGACGGTGCGGAAGGAGGCGGGGCTGCCACCACTGTTGTTATATCAGTGATGAATTTTGGCGGTAGTGCATAGTTTTATTGACTGTGCTCGGGTGCGATGGGTTGGCGACGGCTAACGACAGTAATGTTCTTCGGTGGGTTTTGGAGAACTTTTTGTGTAAAGTATCTTTCTGTGGAAGGTGCTTTTTTATTATTATTATTGTATCTGACACCTGCAAATTGAATACGCCCAATTTGAATACAATATGTAACTACATGTCCAAGTCTGCATTCTATGTTACTGCTATGATTGGTGCTGGCTTACTTTCGACGGGAGAAATGTTATGTTATCTCCTTTGTTCCCATAGTCGTTTTCAGTACGATGCCTACGTAAGCTACCGTCTTCGCCTTCATCGATTTCCATTATGGAAATTAGGCGTGCCTTGCTGGCAATGTGTCGGCAGATTATTCCTATACCTCCCCATTGACATTGACGAGAGCATGCTTTTGACCCCTGCAGAGTGAAAGGGCTCCCGGTCGATTTTGGCTGGCCCCGCGACTGGCGTCAAGTTTGACGACCCCGACCCTTGTCATCGCCCTCGTCACAACTGCACCGCCGTCCTCTGACCAAATTCCCAGCGACTCCACGGACAGCAAGCTTCCCGCGCGCGTCCTAGACGCGCTTTTGCTCCACCCGCTGCTCTGGCTGATGTGGCTATGTAAGACTCGTGTAGGGCTAGGCTGCATAAAAGTAAAGTTCCACCTTTGTTCATGATCAGTGGAGGTCAGTGTCGAGATTCTTGCTTTAAAAACAGCCAATTCCCCAGCACAAATTCTCCTTTCACTCGTCCATCGGAAGCAATTTCCGTAGTTGTTGCGTAGACGAATGCAGGGGGGGAAACTCACATCCGTCGACGAGTGCAGAAAGTTCCAATTCTCGCTGCTCCAGCCGGGGCAAGCCGTCGCGTTCGATCTCCTCATAGTTAATCAGCAGCACGCGAACAGCTGACGTGCCCTTATCCAACTTCCAGCTAAGGCCTGGCGCATACAGGCCCGATCTCTCTGTGCCCTTTGCTCCGTCATGAAGACGTGGAGACGTCGCACGCCCGTCAGCTCATTCACGACATCCATAAGCGCAACAAGGCCGTCAAGGTTGCATTTACCATCGGGATGGCAAGTTCGTGCAGCGATCTTATGCTCGTGAGCGAAGAGCTCTGCGTCGTCGATCAGAACCATTCGGCCTTAAACCTGAAGACCGTTGATTAGAGCTCGTACAAAGGTGCAGCGGCCAAACGACAGGTCGGCGACGCGGTAGTCGGAGCAGCCTGCCGATTCCTTCGTCCTGATCTCCATGAGACTCATTCTCGACAAACGTAACCATTTTGCGCTCCGTCAGCAACGTCGATGTCGCAAAATTGCGCAACCCTTTGTCCACTCCAGTGGAATAACCGCATTCAACAATGTAGAGGATATGGCAAAGCGCAATTTATTTCTTCAGTTCAAAACTTATTCATTCGTTCGTTTGCTAACAGCTTCTCCTTTCGTACTGCTAAGAGGAGTGACCTTTCAGAAGTGGCCGATAACCTTGTCGCGGCAACCATCCTCATCCTGTGATTAGAATAATACATCGATTGTCACTAAAGTGCATTCTCCTTCACCAATACATCGCGTAATTGCGTTTACGTACAGGCTTGTGGCACATGATGGGCTCGGCCACAGGCGAAGGCGCGGCGCTGGCGGCGGCGGCGAAAACGACGAGGGCGAGGGCGACGACGTTGAAGAATTGCATGGTGTTGCTGTTGAGAAGTTGAGAGGAGGAACTTGTTGTTGGATAAATTGGAAGGTATGGCCGCATCAGCTGCTTTATATGCGCGGGCAACGCAAGAACGCGCGGTCTCCGCAATGGCGATGGCTCTTGCATGTGCTTTGCAATAGAGAATGATTATGGTCCAGGACGCGTTAGCAACCAATGCAACGCACGTTCTGCCCTTCTGTAGGGGCGAACTGGCTGTGGCGATGGCCCATGCACGTGACCCTGCTACGAGGCGCGTTGATTATAGATAAGAAACATGTTTGCGGTGCTTAGAGGCGCAATTCCCCAGTTATGATCGTGGAAGCTGCAATGGCAAAGGATAATGCTGACATTATTTCAGAGTTCGAACGGAGATGGAAATTGGAAAATTTCAGTTTCCGGTTCAGCTGCGTACATCCGCACCTGTGAGGAAGCCTCCTAACGACAGCTACTAATATGTACATCACGAGCTCATGTACAGAAGGAAGTCAGTTCTCAATGGTCACTAGTGTTTTATATTTGCAACGGCTCGCCGCTGGAACGCTCACGGTTCGCCCTTCAGTGTTCTTACCTCGGCAGCTCATCCACCAGCCTCTTT